AACAAGTTTCTAAATAAATGAATTTCAAAACCATTTTTCACCGCAACGTTGGTATCGACGGATCAGATGATGTCGGGAAGTCTTCGCGAGACTCGGTTTCAGTGGCCGGACGTAACGAAATCCTGGGATGGGATGCGGGTTATGAGTGAAAATATGATGAAAACTAATGGCGTCGTGTATATGGGTGGTATGATTATAGTCGTGGGTATTTCATAACTTGCTTGACCTAAAGCCTTAACTTTATATACACAGTGTATTAATAAAAACTAAAAAGTTCTTATCATTTATTTATCATATTTAACACCTAATATGAGTTAAGCCATTGAGGTTAACAATGATAAATAAATGATAAGAACTTTTCAGTTTTTTACGAATACACTATGTCTATGAAATTAAAGCATCAGGATCAAACAAGATATGCAGTCTCGACTATAAGTATGATTGTCTGAATTCAAGCCCCATTTGAACCCATGTTATTAACTGGCATTCGTTGTATCGCAGACTCGCTTGGTTTGCATAAAGTGGCGAACCCGTCGTACGCCTACCCGGCCGTCTCCCTACACCTATATATACCGCCCTATTCTAAGTGCCAGACGTTCAATGAGAGGAACGGTAGTAGAAACGAGAGTAAAGTGACTTTCTATAGTCAATACGGATCGAGAACTCCAGTTTAAATTATACAATATTATGATAAAATAAAACACAAATTGTGAAAAAAAATGTTTGTTGTATTGAGCTTAATAATTGTATTAATAAATAAATTTTAATTATTATTTGCTCAATATATTAAATAAAATTTTAACGCATTGAGTTTTGTTGTAGAATCGTATGCTGACACACATAATTACATAATAATTAATTTTTATAATAACTAATATAATAACATAAATAATTTTTTCTGTATGTTAATATGATAAATTATATATTATTAAAACCTACGATGTTCAATGTTTTTAAAACATGTATTGTATTTATATTATTTAACTAGCATTAGTATTATTGAGAATAATGTGCTCAAATGAACTTTCTTGATTGTTCATTGATTAAAAATATTAATTATTTTATCTACTGTACTTGAACTCTACATTAGATTTATAATTTATTAATAAAGGTATATTATATGATTTCGAAAATAATATGTAACACAATAACACATTGGTGAACTATGATTAAAAATGTCATAAGACCTTTTTATTTTAAAATAATACACTGATTTCTTAGAAGTTCTTATAATCATTTGAAAATGCGTTATAAAATGGACCTTGGTATCTAGTTATCTGCTCAACGTGGGGCTATATTCATCGTAATTATAAATTATCTACACATACTATCGTGCCATAACTAGATAATTCATTAATATAAAAACTATCGAATCATACAATTCATTACTATTGTTTATAGTTTTAAAAATACTTTGCAAACATAAACGATGAAGGTGCTTTTATTATTACTCGCATTTGTCTCGGCGTATAACGCGTTACCCGCTTTTGACGAGCTATCACAGGAAGGTGAGGGTAAGACATGGGTAGTCCTATGTGCCAGCGCTAACACATGGATGAATTACGGTATCCAGGTGAGTCATAACATTATTGTGGAAAATATTTTTAAAATCTAAAATTATTTAAATTTGTCGTATAGTCCGATGTGTACCACTCGTACCAATTGGTGCGTTCGCACGGTATACCCGACGACAACATAATAGTCATGCATTACGACGATATCGCCACTGATAAACAAAACCCAACACCCGGGGTAGTCATAAATGAGCCCAATGGTACCAATGTTTATGAGGGTGTGCCCAAGCATTATACTGGGAAAGATGTCACTCCCCAGGTAAATTAAATATAATGTTAATATTAATTTTATAATGATAATAATTATATTGTTGTATTCAGAACTTTTTAGGTGTTCTGAAGGGCGATGATAAATTAGCTAAGCTTGGTAAAAAGGTTGTTAATAGCGGACCTAATGATCGTATATTTGTATATTTAATGGACCATGGAGCTGAAGGTAAATTGTTAAAATATTTTTAGTATTATTGCATGATTAATTATAAATATAACTCTGGCTTGTTAAAATTATTTAAATATAACATTTAACAAACAAGGGTTATATTTAAAATTAATTTTGCAATAATACTAAAAAATGTAAAAACTGATTAATTTAATTACTTTATTGATTACCCTATTTTCCGGTATATAAGGTGTGGTCATGTTTATGGATACCTTTCTTCACGCCGAGGACCTAAATAACGCACTCAAAGAAATGCACACAAATAAGAGATACTCACAACTTGTATTTTACCTTGAAGCTTGTGAATCAGGTATTCAATACGATATTAAAAATGTTTATCAGTTATTAATAACTTAGTTCATCAGGTTCGATGTTTGATAAGTTATTACCAACTGATATCAATGTATACGCCGTAACCGCTACAAAGCCTAAGGAGCTTGGTTGGTTTTATTATTGCGATACGAAATTAAGTACTTGCCTAGGTATGTTTTAAATATTTAGTTTAAGTATCCTAATAATAATAATATATAATTTGTACACAGTAATTAATTGTATAAACTATTTTTTCAGGTACATATTTTGCGGCAATGTGGTTTGATGATTGGAGGGCTAATGACCCAAATGTTGAAAAGTTTCAACAAGAATATGAGTTTTTTGATAAACATCAAAATTTTACCATGTACAATCAGTCTTACTCGCAGCACGCTCAACAATACGGAGATTTATCACTTTCGAAATTGACTCTAGCACAATTTTTAGGTTATTTTATTTAGAATTAGAGTTTTATTATTTAATTATAATTTATTATAATTTTAAAATATAATTGTAGGTGGTAAAAAATCACCTGAAATGACAAGAACTTCAAATATTAACAGAGAAAACATACAGTTTGTGAGCAAACGAGAAGTTGCTGTTTATATGTTGCAAAAGAAAATTGAAGAGACCCAGGATATCACTACGAAATTAGGGTAAAATTTAAAATAAAATTTAATCATTAATAAATAATATTTGATAAACTATTTTATTTTACAGGTATGTCAAGGAGTTGGAGGCTTTACTGAATGGACGTCTATATATGGATAACGTGTTGTATGAATACGTGAATAGTATTCAACACTTAATGCCAAACATCGCAACCAATGCTATACTCCATACGAAACAAGAGCTCAATAATAGACACTGTTATCGACGATTAGCCGACAGTTTTATTGAACATTGTTTTACCCTTAATGAAGTATTTCATAAATTTTATAACTATTTTAATGTTTAAATTAATTGTATAATAATTTTTACAGAATCCATACGTGTTGTCAAAACTGCATATATTTGTGAATATTTGCGAACAAATGCGTGACTCGAGTGATGCGGACATTGCTGTCAACCGATTGATACAATACTGTCATCAAAATATTGACCGAAATATTGCCACAAATATTCAATAAACTGTTCAATATTTATATCAATATAAGAGAGTTAAAAAATATTTAATAATAATAATAATAATCACCAGGTTTCCCTGGTTATTTTTAAGGAGCCCTGAAGTCACCAATTTAGTTTATATATTGAATTATTTGAATAATAAGTATCTGAAACTGATATAAATAATGATATATAAATTTTAGTGTTTGAGAATATATTAATAAATTAATGGCTATATAACAATAAATACTAAATATATTATCAATGTCCAATGATTATTGTAATAAAATTTTACGAGTTATCAAAGATTATTATAAGCCCATAAATATTTATGTAGCTAATATATAATATATGTGAAACATTTATATCATTTTAATATTTTTGTTAAAATAATTAATTATAATTTGCTGAAAATGTCTACACTATTGGATATGTTTCGCATTTGCGATACTATAGACCCGGATATTAAACGTAAAATAAAATTATTTCACTTTTTCGACGACTCGGGCCTCAAGTTTGGCGACAGAAATATACTGTTTGTCACCACCAATGACACCGCCTATGGGGTGGGCGCTAATGGGTGGGGATGTCTGGGCTTTGGTCACTCTGATGCCCTCAAAACTCCTGACACTATACCCGAGTTATGCGGACAACGGATCCGCGAGTTT